TTCAAGTAATTTATTTAAAAAAGGGTGGTTCGTTTCACAAGACTTCAACCGATTCTTAGAAATAGCTTTTACAGATCTGTATGCATGTATATCGGTTTCAAAAGTTAAATGGAAGTTAAATCAAAATATTTTGTTAACCTGTTAAAAATAAGAATCCACCTTTTTCCCGAAAATTTCTGAGATTTTATGCTTGGTCAAATTTTTTTTTATATTTAAAATTATTTAAAACACAGTGAAATCTTTAGAAAAATTCGTCATTTTCAGAACGTTTTATCTCAACTAGGTATCAAACACGTTAGTGAAATGATTTAAACTTAAAGAATAACAGAAAAAATAGCGCTTTTTAAGACAAAAAGCAGACAAGGCTATTTTTTAAAAAATTGCCTGAAATTTAAATGAAATTCACTAAAATGTCTTCCTCGGGCCATTCGTAGCCAGCGGGCTTCTGGTTGAATGCACTTATTCTATTTCATGCCAATGAACTTCTTATTTTTCATTTATAATAATCATGTATGATAAAATAGGAAGGAAACATTTTAAGTTTAAAAAAATCTTGAAATCAGAAAGTTTTTTAGATGGTATTTTTAGTTGAGAGTTATATTAATGTTGCACTAGAGGTATTGGTGACGGACCTCGTAATTTAGACCCTTTATCAAGTTGTTGCAATCCAGTGGTCGTTGGTAAAGTTTGGGAAATGATTAGCCATTTTAATAAATTCAACTAAGTTTATTGATTTATAAATTTACTATCAAGCAATGCTATAAACCGAAGAAGCATTCAAATTTAATTCTTATCCTAACTTTCTAAGACACGTAATTTTGCACTTAAAAGCATGTGATCATGGGGAACTGCACACATCATGACTTGACCGGGTTAACTGGATATACTGGACTAAAGATTATTTTCAAGAAATCCAATGACTTCCGAGAATCATTTCGCTGATCTCTCTCTAATAGCAGCCTAACGACTAATTTTAACACTCGCTTTGCTACTACTTAAATAGCACACAAATTAGTATAAAATCAAATTATCTACTTGGAAGGCGGTTTTAAAATCAAACAGTGAAAGAAGTTTTTTTTCTCGAAGATAATTAGTAAAAGGGTGCGAAGAGGACCTGCCACACAAAAATGATGAGGACGACGAGATAGCACCCGATCTCCAAATAACCATGCTAAGCTAATTTTAGGTCAGAAGATCCTCTACATTGTTGGTCTTGAAAAGCACTGGGGTTCCATTCCGCGACTCGAAAACACCGGCAACGATGTTACGATCACGACCAGTTGGCTACCACGGCTTGTCTTTTAACAATAAAGTATTTAATATTGTTGTTGTTCCAAATGCCCCCTGTCTGAAGATATTAGATTGAGGCCCACGAAATTTATTAAGGTAAAGGACTAGATATACGCCTGTCGTTAGCCATAGCTTTGAGCACCAGTCAGGGGCCAGTACGTTTTGGCTCGGTTCCATCCCAATTTTAAGAGAGAGCACCCTAGGGATGGTCAAGTGTTTCCCTTTCTTCCCCTTCTGCCAACCTCAGGAGAGGACTTGCTGGACTTGCCTCTATGCCGCAAAGGCATTATACATTTACAAACATACATGCTTTCTTCGGGGTACAAACCCAAGCCCTACGCTATAGCAATCAGCGTCGCTAGCCACTATACGGATGGGCGACGTATTTAAAAATTGACATTGGTAACAAAATTAAACAACCATAAGTAAAAACTGTCGCAGCGATGATTTTTTCCGTTTACTTTTTCGTGTTTCAAATTCATTTCATTTCTAGTTACGTTAGAAACGGATTGTCATTATTGTACATTTCTAAAAAAAGTCAAATTAAATAAATTACTTCCGAAAACATACAAAAATATGACACAGTGTAACCCTTTCGAGTACTATTTGTTTCTTTTTTGAATTTTTTGCCTTTTTTTTAAGTTTTGTTAACAATTAAACAATAGCATTTAGGGAAATTTTTTTATTTTGCCAAATTTTGTGTTTGCAATTAAGTTTTAGGGGTGGGAATAATACTTTCCAAGGAACCGTTAACCGTTATAAATAAAATTAAATTTAATGGTGATTATTTGCCATGAAAAGATGAGATGCATATTGTAATGCACAAGAGTACATCACGTTCTGCACACTTGTAACGGGTCTTCTTTTCTTTTCTCTTTCGTGTTACATCTCCTGCATTCTCTTTCGTCGAAAGTACGAAACCATATTTGGCTTATGATTTACCGCTGTGGCTACGCGCACATCATTCGGAACTACACACTTCTTTGCTCGGAAGCTAACAGGACGTCCTTTCCTTTTTCTTGAGGAATGTCTATCTATTAACTGACGAGCTAATGCTATGGAATGTTAGCTGGTCTAAACTTATGTTTCCTTTGTTCACTTGCAACAGTATGAAACTATGTATGATGGCAAGTTTAATAAGAAAATAAAAGATACGATGCCACCATTTTACAAATTTTCTTATTTAGTACCTGATCGAAGGTATCAACCCCTTTCATGACATCGATATATGCAGCGACAGCTTGTGTACAAGGTACTTTTTCTTTTTTATCATCTTTTTTTTGTCCCATTTACAGATGTCATAAACGCTGGATTATGTGCAGTAGCATAGAACTGAAGCTGGAATTAGCGTCCCCATCATTAAAGTAGCAAGGCCAATATAGTATTATAATGGGTTTTGAGCTTCTCACAGGTGTATTTTGCAAGATCATGTAGAGGGGAAGTAATCTTCCCAAGGCCCACGAAAGGGTTAAAAAGTCTGAAACCTTTTCACTAAACATTTAACTACTATATTCTACTTATCAAACAAAACGTTTATATTTTTTGATATCATTAATTAAGTTTCACTACCGGTTATTTTTCAATTTCATTTCTTACAAAAGCAAAGCAAAAACGCATTAAAACGATAACAAATAGAAATATATTATCCCCATTAAACTTACTTAATTATTATACCTTCTAGTACAAAATATAATCTTTCCCATGGATTTTGTTTACGAAGAGATTTAACCACCATTTACAGGCAGTAACGTAATTTCAGCGTCGCTTCACGACGTTTTTTTCAAAACTGGATAATAACCAAATTACCTTTAGATTATCGGAGGATTTTAACTTTATAACTTTACTAAATGAATGAAGATTTTTTTTGAATTTTCAAGCATAAGCATAGAAAGAAACCAAGTAAAAATCAAATATATTTTCCAAGAAGTCACGCCCCGAATGGTGATTCCCAATATTACTTTACTCATTTCATTAAAAAGAAAACTAAGTTTCATGGTTGTTTTTTTATTCGGTATCTGAACTGATTAGTTTAAATGGCTTAATCAAACATCAATTGTTTTTATCATGGTCATATATCAAATATTTCTTTAAATATTTGATATTTACTTAAATCGGGGGTGGGCACCGAGCCTGCCGAGATAATTGGGAAACCAACGACAGAAAAAGTACACTCTTTTTGGATCGACATATATTTGTGAATAAAGAATTTTGTGTGTGTGTGTGGATTGACAATATTAAATGTATATGAATTTGGCTCTGACATTAATTTCCCTGCTATAATAAATACCTCACTCCTGATTTTAAAAAAAAATGTAGAAAAGTGTGTTAATTTGTCATTTCTCTCATTAAACTAATTTTAAAAAATAAATGTGCTTGCCGCTATAGATATTATATTACAATAGAAAACTGAATAAATGGAATAAAACTGCCATCCAATATTTTACTTATGCGAAGGAGGACCCCAAAGTAATCGGAATTTATTTTTTTAATTTTTTATTTAGCATTTTTATTGAACCCTGCATTAGTCCCCTTCAAAGTATTATCGATGTGCATTAATGCGCTTGTTCTAGCGCTTTTGCAATTGCTCAAAACTGTTCTGGAACTCTTGAAGCAGGATATTATTTAAAGCCGTTAGCATGTTTTCTTTGACGCGTCACTGAACCATTTTTCTTTCTCACTTCTCTTCATTTAGGGAAAAAATTTGAGCCAGATCGGGTTAGTAGAGTGGATTACGCACAAGCACCATATTGTTTGTCAAAAACTGTCGTACCATCGAAACTGTGTGATCTGGAGCATATCCGAGGACGTACACCACGACGCGTTCGTTTCCTTCGAAACTTAGGCGGTGGTTTTTTATCAATTACACGTTTGTTTATGTATATATGTTTGTTTATGCCTAGATTTGACATGTTTTCAGTTTACATGCTTCCAAATTTGAAACGAGAGAACCAATTGTTGACCTGTGATTTTCCCAAACCATTATCCTTAAATGCTTGCCGGACGATCCCAAAGGTCTCGGCTGGAATTTTCCTTTACAGAAAGGAACATTTTACGCTCATTCTTTGTTTTTTGTGGTCGAACTTTTTACTAATCGCCAAAGAGCTGAAACAGGAGAGCATGCAGCAGAGCACCGCGAGCAATCTTCCAAACTCAGACTGATGCCAGCTCACTAACGATCGCGGGTGACTTCCACTAACAACACCTAACAACATAACTCATAATGACAAAGCACGAGCATGCAACAGCTTGGTTCCGGTTGATTTCCCCCTTGTATTGATGTTGATTTTTATGTATGCTACGATTTATAATTTTTGAGATGCAATGTTAACTAATAAATGTCATCATTTTAAAAATGGTGAGGCCCTCTTGTATCCTTCGCTTCCACAACGGGGCCCTATAGACCAATGAATTGCCTTGCTCTGAGGTAAATGATTATTTGACATTTTTTAATTCCTACTATTAGACCACACTCTCCCTATGTATATTTATTTACATATCCATCTTGTTTAAATTTTCAATTGTTAATAAAATACTTTTTATTTATCCACTCATGTTCAAATACATTTTTTAAAACTTGTAGTGGATGACACTTGATGTTAATACAGTTTTTTCAAATATTAATTCATTCATTAAATTTAATTTTTGAATAAATAGTAACAAGCGAAAATAATAATGCAACACCATATATAAAAAGGAAAATCGCTCGTTATGTCCCTGCAGCGCGATGGATAACGCGTTGAACTACGCCTCCAAAGGCCGTGGGTTCGAATTCCAACTGGGATGGCCAAATTTCTGAGACTATTGTTCCATCTTATTATGCTATTTTATTGGAATAATTAAACTTATTGAATGAATAAAAAATAACAAAAATAATCCAACACCCTATATAGAAAGGAAAATGGAAAATCGCTTTCTATTTTGCCTCTTAATGTTGTGATTCTGTCATATGTATTTACAAATTTATATTAATAGTAATTATTTAATTAAATTAACTAAAATAAAATTTTCTTTGTTGACTTAAGTAGGAATTGACTTTAAAATTTTTTGCATACTACTTGTTTTATATTAAATAGAAGAACATCGCAGTATTTCAAAATTATTTTTATCACATTTCACATTTATGTGATTAAAATATGTATCTAATTAAAGGATCACTTTTGTCTCCCTATTGTAACCTCTACATATAAGATTTGTAATTAAAAAAGCTTTATTAAAAACTTTGAAAATACATATTTTTACTGAAAGAAATTGACATAAGCTTGAGCTTTCACACATAAAACAAAACCAAAAAACATACTTTGAAAAATCGAATTGCACCGAAAGCAAATAACAGTAATCTAATCTTATTTTCTAACACGAACAAATTATTTTTTTGTTAATATTAATTAAAATTCCTGAGGTTGAATTATTTATAGACAATATTTCACCATAATATTATCAAGCCTGTCTTGATTAAAAGGAACGTTAATAGAGTCAATGATTAAAATGCTTATAAAAAGGCTGAAAACAAACTTTAATTTCCCATTGAGCAACAAACATAATGGTAGCTACAATGTAGAAAGAATTGCATGTTCAAATTAGAAAGAATGCATCTTGACATCCTTATTTAATATTAAACCTTTTAAAGAAAAAAGAAGGAATTAGGTTAAATCAGTTAGCGTCTATCTCAGTCTTGAATTACGCAATTAAATGATGAAAAAAATTGTCTTTCCAGCATAGGTTGAGTCAATTAAGCCTCTAATTAAAAATACTTTTCAGTCTTGGTATTAAAATTTCTGTGATGTCAAATCTATACCCTTTGTATTTCTGAGTATATAATTTTTCTCATTATCTACTTGTGGAAAAATTAAGGAATGAGTTCATACTTGCATTAATAAATAAAGAGAGCTTCATTTATTAAAACTTTTCCTTGTGAGAGATAAAATTAACTACCGTATGAACATAGATTTTATAAAGTATTTTAACTTTTGATCCACTGTATAAATTAGATTAAAGCATATTAACGAGCATATACAATGCAATCAACAGTATAACAGATGTTTTTCTTCAACAGAATTAAGTACACTATTTCAGGTTAAAATAATTTAAAGGTAATTAGGAAATGGCAAATAGTTTTCATCATGTAGGAACTGATAAACCTATCCCCCCTCCCCAGCTCATCATGCAAAAAATTATTGTCAAAAATTAACACCTATCTTGCTAATTTGCATGGATTATAATTAATTCCTTAACGGTCGATTAAAAGTTATGTGATTCACGCGCTAATGCTTTCGTTTCATACGCAGACTCGCGTATGTGATGTATGGGGTGGGGAGGAAAGGAATAAATAAGCAAATCCTCTGAAATAAGTAAATCTTTCACAAACACTACCAAGGTTCTGTTATTGCATTCCAAAGCCTTCGGAATAATTTAATGGAAAACCGTGGAATGAAAAGATCGTACTTTGGAAAGACGTATATATACGTTAGGAACAATTAACGCTTTGGCTGAGCGAGACGTTTATGTACACCAGTGGTTCTTAAGAGGCTAAAGTCGTATTGTACCTCAGCGTTAAAGTATAGTTTTTTTTAATTCAATTCATCGTTATTGTATAGAGGTGGCTCGATGAAAATTTTGATTGAATATTGAAAGTTTGGAAAGCAATGATCTAAGTGTAAAATCCCCATTTTTACGTGATGTGGATGTTAAGACAGAAAGTTATTGGATCAGGTGTTATCCTCGTCAGGGCTTAAAAGTAGAGGTCTACCATTAATGCTTCAGAATGGGAAGTTAATGGACAATCAATAAAATTCTCATTTTATAAAAAGATAGAAACGCAAACAAAACTCCAATTTTTTTCTTTCTTTTTTTTAATTTACGCAGAGTATTAAAAATGATTTATACTAAGATGAAGCACATTGTTTTAATTAGCTTCAAATGAACCGTTACTTTAAAATATTTTAATATCTAGTTAAACATTGTTATATACACTTCCAAAACGAAGTTCCGGTAAAGTGGCATAAAATATTCAGTTTCATTTTACGACAAAGTTTCAAGCAGTGACTTTCGAACATCGGAACTTGTAAACATATTATCGTCCTTGATGACACGGGATTTTTATTTTTCACGACGAAATCAGGTTTCATTACCTTGAATCATGGTAAAGTATCGTTAAGTTTACGAAACAAATTTTTATTGTTTCTTTCATATTTACTCTTATCTTTATTGACTTAATGTTCAATTTTCATAATATTTCTAAAGATCTTTAACCTATTTTTGCTACTGATGAACTGAAATTGCCAACGGTTTTTATTTGTCACATATAGCAGGTAATATTTCAAATAAAAAAATTCAATGATTTTTTGAGAATATTCGATATACAACAATACATTTTAGTTCAAATGTTCCATTTACGTTCTGAATATCAATTCGAATTTAGGAATATCGGCGCAAGTTTGCAAAACTCCTATTACAAATACAAATAACATTAACATTTTATAAATAATCAGTTGCTTTTCTTTTTATATCTAGAAAAAAAGCTCTCTAGAAGATTGAAGGGGATAATAACACGAAAAAAATTTCTACTTAAATGTTTTTTGTCACACTGGCATTCTTTTTTCCTGATTAAAATAGTATATTCATTTTTAATATAAATAAATAGTTGGTTAAATTATATCTATGCAACTGCAGTACATTCTATTACAATTTAATCATAAAGTTATTTATCAATACTTTCTAAATTTGATGCTGACTGTAAAATAGTTTTAATTGTAGCAATATAGATTTTTTTCAATGTATTTACTTTACTTATCCCAAATCCTAGTAAATTTGAATTTTAAAAAATTTCACATTCATTCATAGCTTAATTTTATAAATTTTTCGACGCATACAAACATTATGGTTATTGCGCATTTTTATGATATCTAATCCCTAAGACCCCTAGTTTTTAATTTACTGTAAGCACGAATCTGTGATTAAGAAACGGCACTTGATTCTTTATTATAATAATAATTATCCTACTTTAAGCAGAAATATACTTTTATTGTTTTACTATTCAGTTCTTAAATTTTCGTTTTTGTGCTAATTATTATATAACTATGCAAAAAACGCTAAGTAATTCTTTGAAAAATTCGAAAATCCATTTTGAGACAAGAATTTGGATTTTAAATAACAAACGTAACAGAGCTTTTCAAATATATATATATATATATATATATATATATATATATATATATATATATATATATATATATATATTCGCCTCTATATTATATTAAGTCTACATCAAATTTTCTATTTCAGAGAAGTGCCCTTAAACATGTAATATCAATCAAGAAAATGAGATAATACATATATTTCCTTTAAGAAGATAAAAAGTATCTTCGATGAAACTTAATATCTTAATCAATCTATGATAACAAATATTTTATTCTCACAAAAAAAATCTACTTTATTTCTTAAGTAATTTGCAACTCTTTTGAAGAATACAATGTTCCAATATTCCGAAAGTGCAATATTTATTTTTGTGTATATATATATATATATATATATGTGTGTGTGTGTGTGTGTAACGTCAATTAACAATTAAAGGAAAACTATAGTTTTATTATTCATATGCTGCAGTTTCAAAAGGTAGTTCCACACTAATTCCAAGAGGTTTCTCATTTTTCATAATTTAATACTGGTGTGGGCAAACAGC